AAAAAAAAATCACCTGAGCTACCAGCAGAGGGCGCCCTGCAGGTGGAGATGGAGTCCTAAAGCTAAAACAGGAAAAAAAATCACCTGAGCTACCAGCAGAGGGCACCCTGCAGGTTGAGCTGGGGGGTCCTAAAGCTAGAACAGCCACTGTGCAGGGCAAGGTGCACCTGGCACTCGTTGCTCAGACTCTGCTCAGTCTCCTTCTTTTCTTTCCCAGGATGACAGAACGCCATTGTGTGACAAGCCACCCCCCTCCCCAGGTACTTGCCCTCCAGGGTCATCAGGACTGACCAACTCCATTTAGGACATGTCCCAAAATGGCCTTGATCACAAATGAAGTCCCTCTGCCTTCCTTGGGGAATGGGTAGTAGTTGTGGAACTGACCAAAGTAAAAGGGGCCACATTGGGTGGTGGGTATCCATGTGCATGGAGGTACAAAGGTCCTGGGGTCCAGGTAGACTTGGAGCTGAGAGCAAGTAAGGGTTCTGTTAAGGTGCTGATGCTTTATGGGGGTCGGGGTGCTCCAGTGCCTTTCAGGGTATTTGTTGTTGTAGCTTTGTTTTGTTTTCCAGTCCTGGGGCTTGAACTCAAGGCTTTGGCACTGTCCCTGAGCTTTTGTGCTAGCACAAAAGGCTAGCCCTCTGCCACTTGAGCCACAGCACCACTTCCTGTTTTCTAGTGGTTTATTGGAGACAAGAGTCTCATGGACTTTACTGCCTGGGCTGGCTTTGAACCTCGATCCTCAGATCTCAGCCTCCTGAGTAACTAGGATTACAGGTGTGAGCCACCAGCATGGGGCATGGCCTTTTCTGTTTATGTGGTACTGAGGAACAGAATCCAGGGCTTCATGCATGCAAGGCAAGCACTCTACCACTAAGCCACATTCCCAGCCCAGAAAAAGACTCTACTATGTAGAATGAATCTGGTGGGCTAGAAGTTTCTCTCCCTGCCAACAGCACCAAACACTGAGCTGGCATGGCAGAAATGGAGCCAAGCCTACGTGGAACAGCAATTAGGCATCTTTCTGCAAGACCATGTTTTTGTTTTTTGCTTTTTGTTTTTTGCTGGTTCATTGGAGATGAGTCTCATGGATTTTTCTGGCTGGGCTTGGCTTTGAACCTTAATCCTCAGATCTCAGCTTTCTGAGTAGCTGAGATTATACATGTGAGCTACAGGCACCCGGCTTTATTATATGCTTTTGATGTAAAACAGCCAACAGCCAACCTTTTAAGCTCCACCCCCCCCATACTTTTCATATCTAGCTAGCCGAGTACAACAGAGATGTATAGAAATAACCAAAGAAAAGCTTGAGGAGTTGAAAGAAGAAAATTTGCACCTGAACATGAAAAATCACAATCTCAGAGCTCATCTAAAGGCTACGAAGAAACTAGTGAAAGATTTACAATCAAAACTTCAGAAGCTGGAACATGGTGACCAAGGGCCAGAAGAGGCTGTGCAGGCTTCTGGTCAGGGCGGGGAAACCTCCCTTGCCTTGAGAGGTAAGATTTCATGTGAATGTCTGGATTTTATGTTGTCACATTTAAGATTCATTACTATCCATCATTTCTTTTGTCTATGCTGGTCCTGGGGCTTGAACTCAGGGCCTCATGCTCTTTCTTGGCTTTTTTGCTCAAGGCTGGTGCTCTACTACTTAAGCCACAGTTTTACCTACAGTTTTGTTTTGTCATTCGTGGGGCCTGAACTCTGAGCCTGGGCACTGTCCCTCAGCTCTTTGGCTCAAGGCTAGCACTCTACCACTTGAGCCACAGTGCCACTTCCAGCCTTTTCTGCGTATGTGGTGCTGAGAATCAAACCTAGGGCCTCATGCATGCAAGGCAAGCACTCTATCACTGAGCCACCTTCCCAACCCTACCTACAGTTTGTGTGTATGTGTGTGTGTGTGTGTGTGTGTGTGTGTGTGTGTGTGTGTGTGTGTGTGTAGAGTCTTACAGACCTGGGCTGGCTTCAAACTGTGATCCTGAGATCTTAGCTTCCCAAATAGCTGGGATTACAAGCATGAACCTCTGCATGCAGATAGCTCTCTCTTACCAGATAGCTTTGTGACTTTGATAGCGGTTGTGTATAGATTCGCTGTGAACCTAGAAGGGAAACAAAGGCAAAGTGATAAGCATGTTATATGAATGCTGGCCAGTATTGTTCGTCACGGTGTAATCATAGCCATTTTCTTTAGTACCTGCTACATTTGAGTTGCTTTCTCTAAGAAAGCACATTGAAGAGCTGGAACATGAAAATGACCAGTTGAAAATAATCGCCCATCGTTTGAACGTGGAACTGAGTCGCTACCAAACAAAATTCAGGCATTTGTCTGAGGAAGAGGTAATGTTTCTAACTAAGGAAAAGCTCCCAGACTTCCTCCCAGCCTTTAGGGTTGAGCTGATTTCTTATTTTTTACAATTCAGTATTATATTTATATATAAAATATTCAGAGCCAGGTGCCAGTGCCTTACACCTGTAATCTTATCTGCTGAAGAAGCTGAGGTCTGAGGATCAAGATTTGAAACCAGCCTGGGTAGGAAAATCTGTGAGACTCTCATCATCAGTGAACCACTAAAAAGCCAAAAGTGGAGCTCTGGCTCAAATGGTAGAGCACCAGCCTTGAGCAAACAAAACAAAACTTGGACAACACCCAAGACTAGCACAAAAAAAAAAAGCAAACCCAAAACACTTAATGTCAAAAACAGTCATTCTCAGGCCCAGACCCATTTTGTTCTTTCCCCAGAAGAAAGGCGGTGAAGCCCCTTTGTCAGATACTAAAACAGAGAAATACCAGATTCAAGATGTGAAGTCGGCACTGCATGTCAGTGCTGTCCTCGGTCCAGGCTGTGACTGCAGCCATGGCCATGGGTGTCACTGTGTGGAGTTGTGCTTATAGGCGTATGCACAACAGGCTGGGCCACAGAGAGCAGGGACTTGAACCCAGGAGAGGACACGGAGATGCCTGGCCTTTGCTGAGAAGGTGGGGGGGGAGGGAGGGAGGGAAAGAAGAAAGGAAATCTATTGCTTGGAGTGGTAGGAGGACAGTTTATTTTGTCTGCCATGTTTTGTTCTAGAGTTCACACGTTGGTGCCCTCCCAGCAAATGGCCCCACGCCCCCCTGGCTGGTAAGAGATGGCTGTTGAATTGCAGGTCCGCGTTTTCTGCGTGCTGTTTATGTAATAATTGAAATCCATTCCCAAAAAAACCCTCTTTATTTTCTTGCCTTGAATAACGTTTGCTGTTGGTCAAGTGCCAGTGGCTCACACCTGCCATCCTAGCTGCTCAGGAGGCTGAGATCTGAGGATCATGGTTCAAAGCCAGCCTGGGTAGGAAAGTCTATGAGACCCTTAGCTGTAATGAACCACCAAAAGCCAGAAGAGTGGTAGAACACCAGCTTTGAACACAAAAGCTCAGGGACAGTGCCCAGGTCCTAAGTTCAAGCCCCAGGACTAGCACAGAAAAAACAGTTTTCTGCTTGGGTTTAGACTGAAGACCTCCATTAGCCGTCTTTTTTTTTTTTTTTTCTGAGAGTTGGTCCTGGGACTTCAACTCAAGGGCTTGTGCTTGTGAGACCTGCACTCTACCCCTGAGCCACTCGTCCAGCAGTGCTCCTCAGCAGTTGTTTTTAGTATAAGGTCTCGCTTTCCACACAAGCTGGTACCTGGAGTGTGAGCTGCCCACTGTTGCTAATCTCACAGGTAAGGGCCACCAAGCCCAGCATCCCTCATGGAGATGGGGGTCTGTGGACTTTTCTGCCTAGGCTGGCCTGGAACCATGATCTTCCTGGTTCCAACTTCCCATGTAGCTCGGGATGATAGACATGTGCCCCTGCACCAGCTGTGGGTTTGAAGGAGGCCTATGGAATGCCTCTGCCTGGCTGTCCTTGAACCACCATCCTCCTGAGCTCAGCCCCTCAGGTAGCTACGCGGATGGCAGTTGTGAGCCATCAGCCCCAGCTTCTGTTAACCCCCCTTTCCTCCGTGATGTTCAGGTGGATATCAAGTACCTCTCACCGCTGTTGCTGGCTTATGAAGACAGAATGAACGAGAAGGACCAGCTGAATGCCACCCTTGAGGTAGGGGCCAGCCTTGCACCAGTGGCTCACACCTGTCACCTCAGCTAATCAGGAGGCTGAGGTCTGAGGATCACTGTTTGAAGCCAGCCCCTGCAGGAAGGTCCATGAGACTCTGATCTCCCACAAACCAGCAAAAGGCCGGAACTAGAGATGTGGCTCCAGTGGTAGAGGCAGACAAGTTCAGTCAGAGGCAGAGGCCATGTGTGTTTTAGGTAAACTTAGGTGCTGCTGGCCCCAGGGAAGTTCGCCACTTAAGCTGTTGACACCATACTTGTCCTTGCCTGCTTTCCCGTGTCTTTGGACAGCTTCTGGCCATGAAGATCTTTCTAACTTGGCCATTGTTGCTCAGAAGGCCTGGGATGCACAAGAGTTGTCCTGTGCCTCTGGGGACCCCATTAAGTGACCCTGACTTAAGGCCCCAGCAGTGGCACAGAAATAAATAAGTGGGAGAGGAAGGAAGGAAGGGAGGAAAAAGGGAGAGGAATGGAGGGAGGGAAGGAAGAGGAAGGAGGGGAGGGGGAAAGGAAAGAAGGAGCAAGGAAGGGAGGGAGGGAGGGAGAGAGAGTGGGCTCTTTGCCCAGTGCTCAGTGGTGTGCAGGTGTCCTGGCTCCTCGCTGAGGGCGGGTGGCCGGACAGGACTGCAGGCAGTGCCGGGGAGTCAGCATGGGTGCCTCCCGTGTTTCAGGAGGAGATGCGGGCATTCAGGATGCGGGTGCAGCAGGTGGTGGAGGAGAATGAAGGCCTGCACCGGGTGATAAAGAACACGGTCGTCAGTGTGGTGGAACGGCAAGTGTCAGCCCCGAGTGTCCCTTGTCCCCAGAGCACACAGGCCCCAGGATAAGCTGTACGAAATAATGTAAAAATGCAGAGATGCATTTTCTTCACATAGCTGAGGTATCTGAAGGGAGAGTAGCTCACACCTGTAATCCCAGCTTACTCAGGAGGCTAAGATCTGAGGATCACAGTTCAAAGCCAGCCTGGCAGGAAAAATCTGTGAGATTCTTATTTCCTATTATCCAGCAAAAAGCTGGAAGTGGAGGTATAGCTCAAGTGGTAGAGCACCAGCCTGGAGCAGAAAAGGCTCAGGGACAGTGCCAAGGCCCTGAGTTCAATGACTGACACCAAAAATCAGATCAGGATTGGCCATTTTGACTTGCTTCTAGGTCCTGTGTACATTGGGTACTCCTCCCTTCTCTCCCCGTTTGTGTGTAGACGTGTTTAGCATGGGAGTCCCATTTCAGACTTCCCCTCCCCCTCCTCCCCCCTCACATTGCACATATACGATCTTCATTCAATGTGGGGTTGGTTGCAAAGATCTGGAGATTTGCATGCCTACACACTCAGTCCCCAGCGATCTTAGTTCATTTTTACCCATTATCACAGGCAGCAGCTGCAGACACAAGCCGAGCTGGTTTTGGAGGAAAACAAGTTGCTGATAGAGCAACTGATGATCCAGGAGAACAAAGCCCAGGACATCCACCAGGAGCAGCAGCAGGAAGGTGAGCTGGGACCAAGCAAGGATGGCAGACCCTTCCCCCTCCTCCACACACAGAATGGCCGCGCACCTCATGATTGCCTGCTTTCCTGTGAGCTCTCCACATGGTGTCCACTCATTTCTCAGTGTGGAATCCAGTGGTGTAGGTCCTGTGGTGTGGACCATTCATTTAGCAGAACCTTAGTACCAGGAAAGCAGTTTTTATGTATAAAGCCTTACCTATTCCGAAAGTATATATTTATTAGCTGATTCCTAGTAATAAGTACTCTTGAGGGGTTTTGGCTGATTGGCTGGTTTTGATTTTTGGAAACAGGTTCTCCTTATGTAGCCCAGATTAGCCTGGAACTCTCTTGATCCTCCTGCTTCAGCCTCTTAAGTGCCTGGATTGCAGGCAAGTCCACAACACTCGGCTAATACATTTTCTTGTCTTTTCTCCTGCCATGTCTTTATCTTTCTCTTGCTTCTCAGTGTCTAAGCTGACTAAACAACTCATGCTGCTGGAGATGAAGTCTCAAAGCCAGGAGAAGGAGCTGACAGAAAGCAAGGAGCAGCTGGAGGCGTTGCAGGCCACCTGCCAAGAGCTCAAAACAGACCTGGACAGCAAGATTGCCATGGACCTGCATACCTCCATCGTAAACGAATTACAGAGGTAAGGAGGTAGAGTCTCCAGTGAGTGGAAAGGAGTTCCCATGTATGTTTAAAGGCAGAGTGGACAGGGGTCGCTCAGTCCTGCCGTGTATATCCAATAGTTTCTAGGTTTCTATCCCTGATGATTTTTTTAACCTACAAGCCAGGTATGTGAGAGTAAGAATAACAGCTATTTTATTTCATTTATTTACTTGTTTGTTTATTTTGTGCTGGTCTCGAATTTGAACTCAGGGCCTGGACAGTGTCCCTGAGCTTTTTTTTTTTTTTTTACTCAATATTAATGCTCTACCACTTGAGCCACAGCTCCACTTTTGGCTTTTTTGGCAGTTCTTTGGAGATAAGAGTCTCATGTACTTTTCTGCCCAGCCTGGCTTCAAACCACAATCCTCAGAACTCAGCCTCCTGAGTAGCTAGGATGACAGGCAACGGTGCTCAGCTAATTATGCCTGCATGTTCTTTGTCCTCCAGCCAGCTGCAGAAGGAGGAAGAGAAGGAGCGGGCTGAGCTGGAGGAGCTGATGGAGAAGCTGACGGTCCTGCAGGTGCAGAACAAGAGTCTGTTGTTAGAAAAGAAGAGCTGGGCCTCTAGGAACAAAGCACTTCAGGCCAACCTGGAGCAGGCGCAGAAGAAAAACAGGTTCTCTCCAGATGTGCTTTCTCCTGAGCTCTTCCATTTCTCAATATTTAAAGAAAAAAGCCAAGCATGAAGAATCTCCCACTGTATTTCTTTTCTCACTCATTTTTCTGATCGAATGGAAAGGGTAGCCAAGATGAGTGGGAACCAAAATATTAAATACAGCCAGGCACTGGTGGCTCATGTCTGTAATCTTTTTTTCTTTCTTTCTTTTTTTTTGCCAGTCCTGGGGCTTGAACACAGAGCCTGGGCACTGTCCTTGGGCTTCTTTTGTTCAAGGCTAGCACTCTACCACTTGAGCCACAGCACCATTTCCAGCTTTTTCTGTGTGTGCGGTACTGAGGAATCAAAGCCAGGGCTTCATGCATGCTAGGCAAGTACTCTACCACTAAGCCACCTTCCCAGCCCTCATGCCTGTAATCTAAACTCATCAAGAGGCTTGAGGTCTGAGAATCTCAGTTCCAAGCCAGCCTGGGCAGACAAATCTTCAGTTAGCCAGCAAAATACCTGGAACTGGAAGCATGGCTCAAGTGGTAGAGCTTCAGCTGTTACTGAAAAAAGCCAAGGGAGATGGTGAGGTCCTGAGTTCCAATCTGTACTTCATATATGGCTACATGTCACACCATGGGCCGTGAGACTCAGGGACCTTTACAAGTTTACTGTGTCCCCCAAGTGTACTTTGGACTCCCTTTTTGCACAAATATCTTTCAGAATGTCAACCAAAAGAATCAATAGAATAATACTAACCTGTGAACTGGCAGGCTTATTGCAAATCCTATTAATTTGTTGGGACTCAATAATTATGAGTCCCAGCCAATTAATTTCCTTCTGTTTACCTTGAAACATAATAGACTTAAGTTGCCGAGCAGAGCAGTTTTTTAAATTTTTTTATGTGTTTGTTTTGTTCAATTACAAACAGAGGACCTCATGATGCTAGACAAGATCTCACTCTGAGCTATTCAGCCTCAAAAAGAATATTTGCTTGTGCCATACTGGGGCTTGAACTCAGGACCTCACACATGCCTGCTTAGGCTTTCCCGCTCAAGGCTGCCACTCTACTACCTGAGACACACCTTCACTTCCAGCTTTTTGGTGGTTAAGTAAAGATAAGAGTCTCACAGACTTTCCTCCCTAGATCCTCAGATCTGAGCCTCTGGAGTAGCTAAGATTACAGGCATGAGCTACAGGCTCCCAGCTGAGAGGCGCATTTAAATGTGAGCATGCTTGCTGTTTTGTAATACAGCACTTCCCTGAGCCCTGGCTGTGCACACTGACCAGTTTGTGTTTCCCCATTTGAAACCATTTAGGAAATACCAGAAGAAAATTGACTCTCTCAAAAAGCATGCAGAAAAAGCCTTGAAGAACGAACTCTGTGCTCATAACTACTTGGCCAACCTCATTACTTTGACAGAGAATCTAGCCCAGGAACGAGATGGCCTCAAACATTTGGTAAGTTTCCTCAGTGTAACCTTACATTAACAGCAAAGTAAAATGGAAATAGGATTTTTTGTTTTGTTTTGTGCCAGTCTTAATGCTTGAACTCAGAGCCTGGATGCTTTCCTTGAGCTTTTTGGTGGCTCATTGGACATGAGTTCCTGCCCAGGCTGGCTTTGAACCTGATCCTCTCATATCTCAGCCTTCTGAGTAGCTAAAATAAGAGGTGTGTGCCAGTCGCACCCAGCTGTACATGTGATTTTTTTTTTGTTTTTTTTTTTTTTTTGGGTCTGGACCTGGGGCTTGAACTCAGGGGCTGGCATTGTCCCTGATCTGCTTTTGCTCAAGGCTAACACTACCACTTGAGCCACAGCACCACTTCCAGCTTTTTCTGTGTATGTGGTACTGAGGAATGGAACCCAGGGCCTTGTGCATGCTAGGCAAGTGCTCTACCACTGAGCCACATCACCAGCCCTAGACATGTCTCTTACCTTGTCTGTTTCCACCTTTCCAGGGTCCAGTTCTCAGCCTGCTGAGTGCTGACCAGGCTCCATTCCAACCTCGTAACCCATTCTGTTCTTACACTTGGCAGGACAGTCTGCAATACTCTTATCTCCAAGGAACCACCTGAAAACCAGAAGTGGCACTGTGGCTTCAAGTGGTAGAGGGCTAGCCTTGAGCTGAAGAGCTCAGCGCAGCACCCAGGCCCTGAGTTCAAATCCCATGACCACCATTGGGAAAAAAATACAACTTGCTCAAGTTTCTGGAGGCCTTGGGTTTAGTTCCTAACACTGCAAAATAGAGTGGTTTTACCTGGGAAAAAATACATATGTTTATATATATATATATATATATATATATATATATATATATACACACACACACACATATATGTATTTGTGATAAACACACACATGTGTACACATGTATGTAGGCATATATACACACAAACATGCATGCACACACATACTGAGAATTGAATTCAGATAGACAGGGCCTTGCACTTGCTAGACATGTGCTCTGCCATTTGAGCCACGCCTCCTGACTTTGTTGGTCACTGGAGATGGAGTTGACTCTCTGGCTTCAAACCACAATCCTCCATATCTCAGCCTCCTGAGTAGTCAGGAGGACAGGCCTGAGCCCCCAGCACCCGGCTCCTAAGATCCAAATTTGCCCTCCCTGTGCCAGTCTTAATGATGTGAGACCCTGCCAGGCCAGGGGCAAGCAGGAACATGGCGGAGGCTGCACTCCCTGCTCACAGAGCCCCCCTTCCTCCCCAGGGCTACAAGAAGCAGGCAGCCCTGCGGCTGGAGGACATCAGCCACCTGCTGACGCAGCAGGAGGAGGACTTCGCAGGCAAGGCGGCCCGGTACCAGCAGGAGCTGGGGTATCTGCAGCAGATGTTACAGGACAAGCAAGAGGTGCTGGACCAGGCGCTGCAGCAGAAGAGGTGGGTCACAGCACAGGAGCCACACCACGCCCAGTGTGCCTTCCCACTTTCTCCTCTTCTAATTCAGACTGCCTGGCTTTGATTGGTTCTAAAACAAAAAAAGCATCAGTGATTCACGTGTCTAAACTCCTTCCCATAAGAAGTATTCCCATGAAATCTAATCAAGGGGTTGGGTACTGGTGCTCCCTCTGTAATCCAGGCTACTCAGGAGACTGAGATTTAAGGATTACAGTTCAAAGCATAGAATCTTGTCTATGGAAGTGGTTGTTTGACATATGCACCACACTATTGTGTATGTGTGTGTGTTTATGTGTGAGCCCAGGCACACCGAACCCAGGGCTTTTGAACTCTGGGCCTGGGCTTAGTCCCCAAGCATCTTTTGGTCAAGGATAGAGCCCTACCACTTGAGCCACAGCTCTACTTTAAGCCTTTTGAATAGTTTAGTGGAGATAAGTGTTTCACAGACTTTCCTGCCCAGGCTGGTTTTGAACCATGATTCTCAGATCTCAACCTCCTGAGTAGCTGGGATGATAGGCGTGAGCCACCAGCAGTCCACAACAAGAGCTATTTTTAGATAAACCATATGCTGTTAGGAGAGTTGTTTTTCCCAGGGCTGGCAGTGTGGCTCAAGTGGTGGAATGCCAGCTGAGTAGGAATTGTTTTTCTGACAAGTTCCTACTTTGGCCAGATATCCTGGTTCTGGTTGTATAAACTTTTAACCCATTTCAAAGGGGCCAGTCACACAAGATTGAACCAATCAGAATAAAGGGCAGTACTGCTTTCTAGAGGTAAAACCTGGGCAGACTGCCCATCCAACGCACATGCTTGCTTGTTTTCTTGTCAGTAGCATGTCTTTCTGCAGATGTAAGCTTGGCCTTTTGAGGTAGAGCCCTTATTCCTATATGACACCTCAGTATCCTGAGACCTTTCCAGCTGCCTCGGGCCCAGGCAGACCAATCCAAGAGACGCTTACCTCCAGCTAGCCAGCAAAAAGCCAGCAGTGGAGCTCTGGGCCACTTGAGCCCTCTTGCCCACAGCCCTTTCTGGCTATGAGTTGTTTTGCAGGTAGAGTCTCACTGCGGCCAGCATCAGACCCCACCCCTCCCAACTGCACCTCCCCAGTAGCTAGGATGATAGGTCCACACTGAGCTGTATGTGGAGCTGGGGTTCTCACCTTTTTGGCACAAGCGGACCTCAGACCAAGATCCTCCCAACCTCCACCTCCTGGGGTTGCCAGGGTTATGGGTGTGAGCCACCGCACCCTGTCCGTATTTCTCATAAATGGTGCTAATTTTAACTTGCCCTTGATTTTGTGTTTATCTTATTAAAGAGACATGGAAGGCGAACTTGAAATCGTGTGGGAATCCACGTTCAAAGAAAACCGCAGGATGCGTGAACTCCTCCAGGAAAGGGCAGGTGTGCGGGCCTCCCCCAGAGCTGGCCGGGGCCCCTGCCTGGACCCGGGCCTGCTGGACTGCTCCAGTTTCAGCTACTGTGATGTGCAGCTTCCTGTCCCTGCCACCCACCACAGCATGTGGGAGCCCGTGGGCTAGGCCAAGACCAGAGCACAATCAGAAGCCACCGAGAGCTGCAGGCCAGTAGAAATAAACTATCTCAGACATGGAATTGTTCTTTTTGTGTGTGTGCCTATCCTGGAGCTTGAACTCAGGGCCTGGGCTCTGTCCCTTAGCGTGTTCTCCTCAAAGCTGAAGCTCTTACCACTCAAACTACTACTCCTGTTTGTTTTTTTTTGTTTGTTTGTTTTTACTGGTTCATTGGAGATAAGAGTTTCATGGATTTTATTGCCCCGGCGGCTGGCTTTAAATTGTGATCCTCCTATCTCGGCCTCCTGAGTAGCTAGGATTACGGGAGTGAGCCACCAGCTGCCCTTAAAGGTTTTGTTTTTGTGTGGGTGCCTGTTCTGGGATTTGAACTCAGAGCGTGGGCACTGTCCCTTAGAATTTTCCCTGAAGACTGGTTACTCTACCACTTGAGGCCACGGCTCCAGTTTTTGATGGTTCATTGGAGACAAGAATATCACAGACTTTCCTGCCCCGGCTGGCTTTGAATTGCAGTCCTCAGATCTCAGCCTCCTGAATAACTAGGATTACAGATGTGAGCCACTGATGCCAGCCACCTGTGAGTTTTTGAAACAGGGTCAATGCCAGGCTGCCCTTGACCTTGCAACCCTTCTGCCTTAGTTGCCTGAGATGAAGGATTATGGCAAACTCCAGGACAGCCAGGCTGTCTGCATCAAGAAAGCTGCCTGCGGGCTGGTATGGTGGCTCAGTGGTAGAGCGCTTGCACTTGCATGCCTGAGGCCCTGAGTTCGATTCCTTAGCACCACATAAGCAAAAAGAAAAAAGCCGGAAGTGGCGTTGTGGCTCAAGTGGTAGAGCGCTAGCCTTGAGCTGAAGAGCTGAGGGACAGCGCTCAGGCCCAGAATTCAGGCCCCACGACCTGACCCAAAAACAAAACAAGAAAGCTGCCTGCCCTGCAGTGCTGTGTCCCTTCACCCACCCCCTGTGGAGACGCCTTGCTGGCCCCTGCTTTCACAATTCGGGCTCCCTCTGGGCCTCAGTTGCCCCGTGGGACATGTGATCGTGGAGCAGATGACAACTCTGATGTCCTCTCCATTCTGTAGTCCAGTGAACTTGGTCCTGGAGTTTTATTGTTTATTTCTAGATTTTGTTGGTTCTGGGGCTTGAATTCAGAACCTGGGCATTGTCCTTGAGCTTTGTTGCTCAAGGCTAGTGCTCTTCCACTCAAGCCACAGTACCACTTTTGACTTTTTTGGTGTTAATCAGAGATAAGAATTTCGGGGATTTTCCTGCTTGAGCTGGCTTCAAACTGTGATCCTCAGATCTCAGACTCCTAGTAGTGGGGATGATAGGTCTGAACCACCAGCACTGGACTGGGTCCTTGATCTTTAAAAGACCCCATGAGTGAACAAGGCTGCCGGTGCTGATGCGTGGGGCATGCCCGGGCCTGGGTGCTTATTTTGGTTTGTTTGTTTTGTGGGTCTGGTCATGGGGCCTGAACTCTGGGCCTGGGCACTGTCCCTCAGCTCTTCAGCTTAAGGCTAGCACTCTACCACTTGAGCCACAGCACCACTCCGGCTTTTTCCTTTTGCTTATGTGGTGCTGATGAATCAAACCCAGGGCCTCAGGCATGTAAGGCGCTCTACCACTGAGCCATCTTCCCAGCCCTGACGCTCCTGCATTTTGGGAGTAGAGGCTCCCCTTCCCCCACCTGCTCCAACAACCAGAATTTTTTTGTATGTACATGCCAGAGGACTTGAACTCAGGACCTGGGCACTCTTCCTGAGGGTTTTTTCACTCTAGGCTGGTGCTCTACCACATGGGCCACACCACCACTTCCAGCTTTCTGGTGGAGATAAGAGTGTCATGAACTTTCCCACACTGGCTGGCTTCGAACCTCACTTCTCACATGTCAGCCTCCTAAGTTGCTAGGATGACAGGTACGAGCCAGGCATGAGCCACCAGCACTGGACACCACTAGACTTTTGGAAAGAATGGCTTACCTGGGGAAGAAAACTACATTACGTAAACACGTTACCATTGGAGCTGGCTTGACTTAACAATATAGTTTATTAAAGTAGTAAAATTCCTGGTTCCAAAGTTTATCTCTTAATCCCCCAAGAGAAAAACAAGTAAGATTTTTTTCTTTGCCAGTATAAATCTTACCTCTTGGAAGATCTCTCTCTCTCTCTCTCTCTCTCTCACACACACACACACACACACACACACGATGTATCTTTTAATTTTTTTTAGACCCAAATAAAATATTTCTTGGCAAGAGTCCTACTTTCCTGGCTTCTTCAGGGATATGGAGAATGTATGTCTCACTTGCTTAAAGCAAGACGTGTTTAATAATTACCCTCCACGAACTCTGTACCTGCTGGCTTCCTTCACTCCTGGGCACAAGGCATTGCCCTCTCCTGGGGGTGCAGATGCCAAGGCTCAGCTCTTCAGCCATCACAGAGTCAAGGGAGAAAGGTAAGGCTGGGCTTGGGGTGGGGGGGTGAGGAGGGGGAGCGGGTGATGCTCCCTGCACTCCTGACCTGGGGCATTCCTTAGAGATGGGGCTCTGCCTTAAATTGCTTTCCATGGCAACTTTTTCCTCCCCTTTCCTTGACCCACTCAAAAGAAAACAAGCTGTCTCACTCCGTAGATGTGTGTGTGAGGGCTACCTTAGACTTTGGGAGGAATGAAAGAAAAATCCATTCCTGATTTTAGGTTTAATTCTGTATATTCCAGGATGCTTTTACGTAGTTTTAGTTGATTGGGTTCTGGCGTGTTTGGGCTTTTGTTTTGGTTTTTTATTCTTATGGGGTTTTTTGTTTTGGTGATTACATTGGGGCTTGAACTCATGGCCTGAGATCTGTCCATTTTACTCAAGGCTGGTGCTCTGCCACAGCTCTCCTTCTGGCATTTGCTGGTTAACTGAAGATCAGAAGCTCACAGACTTTCATGCCTGGGCTGGCGCTGAACCCTGATTCTCAGATCTCAGCCTCCCGTGTAGCTAAGATTACAGGAGTGAGCCATCAGCGTCTGATTTAGAGTTGAACTCTCAATCCTCTTGCCTCAGCCTCCCAAATGCTGGGATTGTAGGTGTGTTCCACCTTACTCAGCTAAAATACTTTTTTTTTTTTTAACCTTTTGAAAACAATCTGGGCCATGGAGCTAGGATGAGTCACCGTTGAAGATTGCAAACCCCGGACTTCAGGAAGCTGAGGGCCCAATGGGAAGGGCGCTGTATGAGCACCTGAACTCTGCAAAGACCAGACAGGCTTTCCCATGGCCGTGAATAATCTTGCTGACAGGATTTTATCCTGCAGCTGAGCAAAGTACACCTGCAAGTCTGACCTCAAGCAAGTGTTGCTCTCAAACAAGAGCTTTTGGCAGCAGCCTGCCACCCCGGTGCCCCGGCTCTGGGCATCCCGTCGGCTTTCGCTGAATTCAGATTTAGCCCATGCCCTTCTTGCAGCCTCCTGGAAGCAGAAGGAGGACGCGATGGGGGAGGCCAGCCTTTGGAAACGGACCAAGGAGGAGAAGTCAGTCCAGAACAATGGACCCAAGACTACGAATCTCCAGAAAGAGGTAATTGGGGATCCAGGGGTGGGGGAGGTGCTGCGCAGTCCCCTGCAGAGTCCCCACTAAATCCTAGTGACCCAAAAAAGACAAAGCACATGATATTTGGGGGTTTTGTCCCCCGGCTTTTTTATGGTTGTACTGTGGCTTGAACTCAGGGCCTAGGTGTTGTCTCTGAGCTGCTTCTGCTCAAAGCCGGAGCTCTACCACTTGAATCACAGCTCCATTTCTGGGTTTTTGGTGGCTGATTGGATGTGAGACTGTCTGGGCTGGCTTTGAACTATAATCATCAGATCTCAGCCTCGTGAGCAGCTAAGATTATAGGAGTGAACCACAAGTGGTGGTAGTCACTGGCTCTTGGAACTTGTCTCCTTCCCTTCCTTCTTTCTTTTTTCCTTTCTTTATTCATTTCCCTACCCCCCCCCACCTTCCATCTTTCTCTCTTGTTCTCTTTCTTTCCTTTTGCAGTGCTCAGGCCTGGCGCACATTGGACAAGCACTCTACCACTCTAGAAACAGCTCTCCCCCTTTTCTTGTACCAGGACCTGACTACTGTCCCTTAACTTTTGTGCTCAAGGCTGGTGCTCTACCACTTGAGCCACAGCTCCACTTCCAGCTTTGTAGTGGTTAAAAAAGAGTTAAGATTTTCCTGGACTTTCCTGCTCAGGCTGGTTTCAAACCTCAATCCTCAGATCTCAGCCTCCTGAGTAGCTAGGATGATGTGTGAGCTACTGATGCCTGGCTTTTTATTTTTTATCCAAGCAACTTTGCCCAGGGTTGGCCTAAAAAATTCACTGTGTAGCCCAGGTTGTCCTGGAACTCAGAATCCTCCCGGCCTCTGCCTCCCTTTGCTGGAATTACAGGCATGTGCCACCCTCCTCAGCTGTGATTTTTTTTTTCTCTGACTTGAAGTTCATGCGCACACACACACGAGGTCCACTTGTGTGTTTCCCTGCTAGCATCGCAGGCATAGCTGACTTGTTGGATCCATTGACTAAATACCATTGAAGTTTCAGGAATGATGCCAGGAAGGACAAGTCAGGGACGGGAGGCCCTCAGAGGGCCACTGGACACACTGCCAGAGGTGGGTGCCAGGCCCTGTGAGCACCTTCCTTCTCCCGCACCTAGGTGGGCCTGCTCAGCGGTGTCTGCATCATCGTGGGCACCATCATCGGCTCCGGAATCTTCATCTCCCCCAAATCTGTGCTCAGCAACACGGAGGCCGTGGGGCCCTGCCTGGTCATATGGGCTGCCTGCGGGGTTCTGGCAACACTAGGTACTGAGACCCCTGCCCCGAGGCATGGCAACACCCTCTGTCCCATGCAGGAATAAGGCAGGCGCCAGGGGTGCACACCTGTAATCCCAGCTACTCAGGAGGCTGAGTTCTGAGGATCCAGGTTCCCAGACAAGTCTGAGAGATTCCTACCTCCAAAGCCAGAAGTAGAACTGTGGCTCAAGTGGTAGAGCACCAGCCTCGAGGGAAAATGTCAGGGAGAGAGTGGGTACCTCACAAGCCTGTCTTCCCCCGTGTTCCAGGCGCTCTGTGCTATGCCGAGCTGGGCACAATGATCACCAAGTCGGGGGGCGAGTACCCCTACCTGATGGAGGCCTTTGGCCCCATTCCCGCTTACCTGTTCTCCTGGACCAGCCTGATGGTCACAAAGCCCACGTCCTTCGCCATCATCTGCCTCAGTTTCTCCGAGTACGTGTGTGCCGCCTTCTACTCGGGCTGTCAGCCACCCAATGTGGTTGTGAAATGTCTCGCTGCTGCCGCCATCTGTGAGTACCCAGCCCGAGTTCTGGGACAGGAGTTGAGGACACCCAGCACAGCCAGAGACAAGGGGCTCTGGCCTCAGCCTCCCTAAAAAGAGGCTAAGTGGGCAGGTGTGGAAAATCCCCAGGCCCCTCAAGGGGCCTGGGCTGAAGGCCTGGCTTCTTAGCCTTCAGCCAGTGAGGCTGTGAATCCCTAAGGCTGCTTTCTCTGTGTGTGTGTGTGTGTGTGTGTGTGTGTGTGAATTAAGGGTCGCCCATTCTCAGCTTGTTTATGGATGACACTCTACCACTTGATCCATGCCTCCACTCTGACATTTTGCTGGTCAGTTGGGTGATGGAATCTGGGCTATTTTTCTTCCTCTGATAACTCTAAACGGCAATGCTCTGGATCTCAGCCTTCTGCGTAACTAGGTGGTAGCCACCTGCTTCCTGTTCCATCTGTGCCTTTCAAAAGGCCATTAATGAACTTCCTTGTTTGCTGTCGGAACCTGAGTAGGGAGGGGAGGGGTGAGAGGAGGGGCAGGTGAATAGAAACCGTGACCTTGGACTGCCCTCTGCCCACCCCACCCCTCCCCTCCCCAGGGCTCATCACCACGGTCAACGCCCTGAGTGTGCGCCTCGGGAGCTACGTCCAGAACATCTTCACCGCGGCCAAGCTAGTCATCGTTGCTATCATCATCATCAGTGGGATTGTCCTCCTGGCCCAAGGTGACTTGTGGCCTGGGGGAGGGTGGGGAGGCTGCTCCTCTTCTGGAGCAGTCTTGTCAGCAAGTTTATGTTCTAGAAAGAATCTGAAGCTGCCCAGCTGTTTAGTATTTGTACAGTACTTGTTGAAAGACTAAGCCCGGAAGACCACGGGGACATTGAGTCACGTACAGCAAAGGTTATTGTCAGCAAGCTGACAGGCTGGCCCTCCTGGGCAGGGACAGCCCTTGTCCTGGAGCAAGGGGGTTTATGTGGCTTTAGGGCGGGGATTTTGTGGTGGCAGGGCTAAGGTTTATGGCTTCAGCTGGTAAGATAAGGCCAGAGTCAGCTAATTTCAGGGAAGGGCCTGTGTCACCAGATTTTGGGACCTAAGATAGTGGCGTGGCTGCCAGGGTGGAAGAGATTAGGCTAACACTTGTTTTGTGTGCCAAGACCAAGGCTTGAACTCAAGGCCTGGGCTCTGTCTCTTCGTTCTACCATTTTGAGCCACAGCCCCACTTCCAACTTTTTGATAGTGAATTGCAGATGTCACAGACTCCTGAGGAGTTGGGCTTACAGGTGTGAGCCACCAGCACCTGACTTTTTTTTTGAACGCAAAGTTGAAATCTGATAGCTGGTATCCACTCTTCTCTGTCTGGCTTAATTCCAGGAAATACAAAGAATTTTGAAAATTCTTTTTCCGGAACACAGACATCAGTGGGTGCCATCAGCCTGGCATTTTACAATGGCCTGTGGGCATACGATGGATGGTAAGGATCTCCCAAGACTCCCAGTCGGCTTCTGGGTGAGGTTTTTTTCTGTGACCCACAAATTCCTCATCACCTCTTTCTTTTTTGAAGTGTACAACCCCTGACTGTTATTTTTCCCTGTGACCCCAACCCATATCGAGACACCTTGGGCTCCTTTCCCAGGCCTGACTATGGCTGCAGTTCCCGGCAGTGCCCTGTGGGCGGCAGTAGTAAGGTCCCAGCTAGATCCACTATCAGCAAATAACAGGTTTTGGTGAATTAGAGGCAACTGGGGTGGTCTACTCCAGATATTCTTGGAAATCCTGGAGACAAAGACTTGACCAGGTTGCAGATAAATGGGCTCTTGGCAGGCCTCTGCTCCCACCACCAAGTTGGCTTCCTAGGAAGAAGTGATCCTGCGGGAGGTCCTCACATGGAGGGTGGCCCTGGCTGGAGGATGGTGGAGGCCAACATCTATCATCCCATCCCGCATCCCACAGGCGTAGCCAACAAAGTCACGTGTCTCCCATCTTCTTTTTCTTTCTCAAGGAACCAACTCAATTACATCACGGAAGAACTTAGAAATCCTTACAGGTAAGAATGCTGCAGCAAAACAAAAACACAGAAAGCATGGGCGGCCGGTGCCCACGGCTCACACCTGAGGTTGCCAGCTCCCGGCCTCCCATGCCTGCTGGGCTCGGCTGTGGCCCGGCCAAGGCCTCGGGGCCCCGGCCACCCTGCAAGGCGGGTGGTGGTGAGGGGGGAGGGAGGGGGGAGGAGAAGGACTGGGTGAATGTGGCCACCTCACCAGCCTCCCGGTGACCTCCGGCACTGTCCCTCCCAGAAACCTGCCCCTGGCCATTATCCTGGGGATCCCTCTGGTGATGGTGTGCTACATCCTCATGAACGTCTCCTACTTCACGGTGATGACCCCCACGGAGCTGCTGCAGTCCCAGGCCGTGGCCGTGGTGAGTGTAGGCAGATGAGGGGAGGCCTGGGCCAGGCGACCCCCACAGCCGTGGGCTGGACG